TGGGATCTCCATCCTTGGATGTTTTTAAGGCCCAACCCAACAAAGCCATGGCTGGAATGATATAGTTGGAGCTGGTCCTGCAGAGCCAGGGGGTTGAACTGGATGTGACCTCCTGAGGTCTCTTCAAACCCTAATTTTCTATGAATCTATGATACAGCGGTTGAGGACATTAACTAAATGGAAGTTAACAAGATGTTGATAAGCCCCTAGTTCAAGGCATGCTGACCCTGTCAAGGAACCCCAACAGGTTCTCATACAATGAATATAAATATTTATTTATAATATAAAGGAATGTAAATGTATTTTATTTATAAATACAAGGAATATAAATTTATTTTATAATAAAATAAATAAATGGTAAAATTTGCATTGGGTATTATTGATGCTGTGGGCTTGGAGAACTGGCAGGCTTTCTTGGTATACATTTGATTAAATGTAAGACCATGTTTAGCATTTGCAGATACTTTTCCAGGTACTCTAGAGGGAAGGGGGAAACAACTGAAATAAACCTTGGTAGGATATTAATAAAACTAATGCAATGTTTTCAAATATAGTATTGACAATAAGGACCAGGGAGAGTTTGGACACTAGGTCTGATCAAACTTACCTGGGTGATGCCAACTTAGGAAGGATAACTGATATGGGCAAAATCAAACAAAAATGTTATGAGAATCAGGAAAAATAATATATATATTTTTAAAGACATGCCGTATCTTGGGATCCTTTAGACCAACTGACTACATACATGCATCTGGATCTACTATGTGAGACCAAGTTATTCAAAGAACGCTCCATGTATATGAACAGAACACCTGGAAAGTATGGGGCATAGTGAATTTAATTGTCATTAACTACACATTGCAAACTCCCATCAATAATAATGAGAGCTATTTGCTTTAGTCTCTGTAGAAATGTACACGCACTTCAATCTGTCCAGTTGTCTGCATGTGTCCCTTTGCTAGGGAATGCTTCCTTGGGGTGGGGGGAGTTTATCACCCTCCACCCACAACAGCAAACAGCAGTGTTAATATCTGGATATGCTACAGCTTGGTGTAGTATGAGCAGCAAGTCTTAAATCATGGAAAACTGATGTATGTTAATGGGATGATTGAGGGCGCCTAATACTCTCTTTGAAGAGCTAGATAAGGAGGGATAATGGATTTCCTGCTATTACCAGGATTTGCACCCTTCCTCCCCCTGTCTGGATATGGCTACCCCATGCCAGACAGAGTTGACTTTATCCCTGGCTCTTCATTCAATACTGTGTTTGCAATTTGAGACAGATGGTGAGCAGTTTGAAACCATCTCCTTAGGGACCCTTCAACCTTTTGTTTGCAAATTACTCCATCTGAATGCCATGACACCTGTTAGAAGCACAAAGATAACATGGTGACCTACAAGGCAGCTAGTGTTGTAGTATACTTTATGACAGCTAAAATGATGTTGCATTCACTGTGACAGAAAAAAGGTCTACATATAAGGCTGAATGCATTCTCAATTCTTATTTCCCCTGTATCCCTCTTATTCCCTCTGCTTTAAACGCTAACCCCTTAACTTATTGTCTGTCTCACCCATCCATGACTTATTCATAATATGGTACCATTTCAATAGTCCACCTGGATCAGGGCTTCATGGTGTCAGGTGTAAGAGAGACAAATATGAGTCTTTGCCAAGACAGCTTATGTTCTGAAGTGACAACACAAGGAAAGGGAAGGAGGGAGGGAGAAAAGAAATGGTACCTTGTATTTTATAGATGGGGAGCTAAGGCACGGACGGATTAAAGATCGGATCCAGGTGCCCGTACATAGTGCTCAAGAATACACAGCATGGCTCCTGGGTTCAGGACAATTTCCTTGGTACATTTTATTGCACTAGCTCTTAACAGGAGTCTTTCCCTTCACTCCAGCAGGCCTTGGATCAAGCTTTATGAGCCTTGCCAAAGGTAGCACAGTGCGTCAGTGGCAGAGTGTTAGCCAAGATCTGCTAAACCCCATTGCACAGCTTTAACCTCAGCTAGCACCACAGGCATACAAACAGTTTTAACCCAGGAAAGATGAGGCTCCCCTAGTCCAACAATTCAACCTCTAAATGTGTTTCAGTCATGCCCCAACAGTGGCAAAGCTAGCCTTGGATGAATCGGGGCACACTTATGCATCTTCCTCAAAGCAGCAGTCAAAGCCTCCTCAACAAGATATCCTTGCAGATCAGTGGAGGTCTGCCTGCTTCAAGTGTTGGGCCAGCCTCTCTGCTTCTACCATCCAAGTGCCCATCCTTGTTTTCACAGGCTGTTGTGCAAGACATAGCAGGTAAATCATGATCCTGGGCAGACTTCAGCTGTCTCCAGCCTGACAGTAATTACCTGACCTACAGTGATAATTCTCCTGTTGCTCAGACTATTGTTAAACTCTTCCTTTCCATGATCAAGCTGCCCAGTGTGTGGCTTTGGAAGACATAGCAAGGACAGCAGAAGCAAGTAGATAGCATCTTAGATTATTAGACAATACTCTTGACCTTGTGGTTCTGGCAAACCTACTTTTCCTCACCAGGAAAACCAGGGTGGGGTGGTTGAAAATTCATTCATCGTGCATTTTTCCAGGTCTCCTGCATTAAGCTGGGGAATCTACCACAGTGGTCCAGCAGGTCCTGCATCATGATGGGAAATACCCTCCTTCCTATTTATGAACTCCAAGACTTTGAGGGCTGGAAGGGAGACAAAGGATGGAAACCGGCGTTCATCTATTGCTTCAAGTCTGCTGGGGAGCCCCAAAAGTTTTAAGCCACTGATATCCTCCTTGGGGTAGACAAGCATTATAAGATGAGTGGGTTGCATTTCATGAATGGCAGCACCTGGAGTTCACATACTTGTTCTTAATGGCCAAGTAGGTGTAGGGTTTGCCGGCTTCCAGATAGCTACTACCACTCACTTCTCCCTGGTCAAGAGGAACCAGTGGCTTGCCTCAGCAGCTCTGGGCCCAGCAATACCCACATTTCTGGGGAAAATAGTCTCTCTCATCCTGAAGTCCTCCTGCCAATGCAGGTCATTTCCATTGGCAGAACTTCCCCCCACCCCAGTTTTTGGATGAAAAAAAGTAACCCCAAATCCACATTTTTCCATGATTAAAATGAAACACCCTTAAGATAGATAGATAGATAGACAGATAGAGTGGTATATCATTTTAATCACAGAAAAATGTAGATTTGGGGTTAGTTTTTTAATCTGAAAATTGGAGATTGTTTTTAATCAGAGAAAACCAGGATTCCTACTTATAGCAGAAGTACCCCTTCTGGTCCTTTGATGCTGGCTTGGCACGGTATGGTTTTTATCTACTTGATGTGGCT